CAGAGGCCAGCGGGTCACAGGCCCTTCTCAGGGTGTGTGTGACCTTAGCCAGAGGTCAGCGGGTCACAGGCCCTTCTCAGGGTGTGTGTGACCTTACCAGAGGCCAGCGGGTCACAGGCCCCTCTCAGGGTGTGTGTGACCTTAGTCAGAGTTTTCCAAAGCCATTTATAGAAAATGAGTTTTTCCTCTAGATTTTTCCTCTTTAGTGTTTTCCAGCCTCTACTGTACCCCAACAGGTATTTCTGTAGCTGAGATGATAATCATCATCACCATCCCTGTCACTGACAAACATCCTAGACACAGGGCTTTCCTATGGGGCAGGATGGATCTGGTAGGAGTTGGGAAGAAGAACGGGAATATGATCAAAATCCACTTATTCACAAATGAAATTCTCCAAGAATTAATAGAAAGACTGTATTGAAACAGTAAAAATACTTACTACACTGAACAAAAAAAAACAAAGCGCAGGTTTTTCAGGAAGCTGCAGAGCCGGTCACATGACAATCCTCCAGGCATGCAGCCTCTGTGGGGCTGCAAACCTGGCACCTCATGGGGCCACAGACTGGCTTGCACAGCTATGCCCTGTCCAAAGCTGCACTAAGGAGACGGAAATGTAAGGAGCTGGTTAGAACTTCAGGAAGCCAGCTTAGGAATATTTAACCATTTTTTTCTTGAATAAATATTTGGATGGGTATAAGAATTTGGAAAAATTTGGATAACTTTTACTAATATTTTCCTACTTTTATAAAGCTGATTTTGGTGGTACTTAATCCATCAATCTAACAGGCCAGAGTCTTCCTTTCAAAGAATGTTAATATTTGCCTAATTCCTTCTTTGGTATATAAAATTTACAATTTAAGTATTTAATCAATTTGGGATATATTTTACATAGAAAGTTCAGAAGGCAATGGGAAGCCAATTGCAGTATTTAAAAAAACTTTCCTAATTAAAATTCTTTTGAGAATTTAATAAAAGTAAAATTTATCTTTGCAGAAAAATATGCACATATGTACAGTTTTGTGTAATTTTAATAAATTCTTAAGACTACCTTGGCCTTCTTCTAGGGAATACAGACTCAAAGCATGGAATCTGTCACATGATCACTGTATGTATCAATCCTAGGAGGGACTGGGTATTTCTGGATTGGTGCCTGCTCCAATGTTCTCCCAGCCTGTTTGTTCTTAGACAACAGCACTGTTTCAGCTAAACCGGGCACTTCTCTGCTCTGCTCTCCTCTGAAACACTAACCTGTGCACAGCAAGCTCCTCACACCTCTGCAGCTTTGTTTTTTCATGACAACTGACCACCAAACACTTGACAGGACCACCAAATACTTTACAGGACCACCAAACACTTGACACGACCCCTTTGTCAGCTTCCTATCATCTTTTAAAAGGCTGGGTTACTATTTTTTTACTACTGTATCTAAAGAAATGCTTTTCTACTACTGTATCTAAATGGCACTGGAGAGAAACAGGAAGTCACTTTAGTTATTAATACAGCAAAGAGTAAGTTTGATTGTAGCCACTTATTTGATTATCCTAAATAGTCAGGTGAGGTATGAGCTTCACAGAGCATTCCACAAAAGCCATGTTTCTGCCACTTTCCCTGAGTAGGAGTATAGGCTTTAAGCAATGGAATGTCAGTTGTATGACTAATTGAAGTCAACATGTGGAAATGACTCCGAATGCATCTGATAGGCCAGCACACTCACATTGCTTCCCTTATAGCCACTTCCTGCCCAGAGTCCCCTGTGTGCAATCAGAGAAATTCACATTCAGATAGACAGGCTCGAGCAAAAGCTTACACTGCTAAGAATCTTCATTACATTCTCAACTTACAGGGGACACATTTTGTGCTATCTGTGTTTTGGTCTTATTAGCCCAAGCAGGCTGCAAACTTGCTACACAGCTGAGGCTGGTCTTCAACCACCAATCTTCCTGCCTCTATTTCCTGAGCTAGGATTACAGGTGGGCACTGCCATGCCCAGATTTTGAGGGGACACATTTTAAATGGTATGTTGTGCTATACCATATAGAAGCCTGACATCCTATAGAGAAAATAGGTCTTTTTATGTATTTGTCTTTTATTCAAGCACCTCTGCCCATACAAAGCGGGAGATCATGGGCAAAAGTTACTCTGTAGGGAGGACATACTGGCTCACTGCACATTTCCTCTCAGAAGACCATGGGGAGACTTGTGAGGTTATGTTAATTATTGCTGCCAACTAAAGATATACAGGTACATAAGTCAGAAATAATTTATTTGAATCAAATTGCTTTTCTAATCAAATACATTATTACTGTGTGAATGTGCACATATTCCTGCATGCATGCACATGTGTATGCATGAAAGATAGGAAAGGAGAGAAAGAGAATGAATGAATGGATGAATGATGAATGAATGTGGGGCGCTTAATACAGTTAGAATGACAAAATAGAAACATAGATTCTAATCTTTCTTAAATAAAAGAAAAACATAAAATATGTTATAGGATTTTTAATACTAGTAAGGTAAAAAATTATTGAATATTTAAAAAAAACCAGGTCAAAACAAAAATATTGTGATAAAAATAAAATACCTGCCTCCTAAAAGTAAGGTAGCAATAGCAAGGTACTTTCTCCTTTGAGGGATGGGGACCAAGGAGCCACACTTCTGGGTGACTTACCTGACTCATCACCCGCTGCTCCTGGACGGCGGCCTGGATAGCCTCTGCTACCCTTTCCTGATCTCTTGCATGTTCTGCCTTCCACATTTCCCGTTCTTCAGCATGAACTTTTTCCATATTTTTCCTTTCTTCTTCCACTGCTTTGGTGATGACATCTTTCATCGCTTCTTTCTCAAGCTTTTTTTTTAAAAAAAAAAAAAAGGCCAAAACAGAAATGTTAACAGTAAGTTCAAATCCCAGACATTAAACTTAACACACAGTCCCAACATTGCTGCATTTCTGTATATTACATAAAGGCACAGTGCATTCAATCATTTTGATACAGATTTCCCCCTTCACCTCCTGATATTTCTCCACTTTAAAGAAATCAAGCCTTAGCTTAAAGCAGCAGACATCAAAAAGTAGGTCTTAAAAGTTATTTATAGGGGCTGGAGAGATGGCTTAGCAGTTAAGCGCACCAGGTGTTCTTCCAGGGAACCCGGGTTCAATACCCACACCCACAGGGCAGCTCACAACTATCTGTAACTCTAGTTCCAGGAGATCCAGCATCCTCACACAGACATACATGTAGGCAAAGCACCAACACATATAAAATAAAAATAAATACATTATTGTTTAAAAGTTATTTACAATAAGGAAGAAACTACAGTAAACTGAAATATGTCTTTCACAGTCTGTTACAACCTAACTCTTTCCTGTATTTTCAAAGACTCCTGTAATTAAACATGACTTCTAAACTGCTGATCTTTGGAAAACACGGATTCACCGCCTTGCTCCTCCAGAAGTCTGCACACTTCCTTGTTACCTGGCAGGTGACATTTGTGTCCGTTCGCACGTTCCCACTCTCACCACCAACCTCCGAGTCCCGGAAAGCACACGGGGACTGTCCAAACTAGTACCTTTGCTTGGTCTCCCTCTGTCTCCATTCAAGCCAACAGCCTGACCTTTTGTTCTTCCTGGATCCACTCTCTGTTCAGAACTTGGCTCTCATCAGCTACTCCTCACATGTGTTGAATTCATCGTAGACTTCTGCACTTGTTTACTTTGGCTTTTAAGCTGTTTGTCCATTTATTTGTCTCCTACGCCACACTGCACATGCCCTCTACCAATGCTCTCCTGTGTCTAGCATCCTATTTCCCAGAAGCTAATGCCCATTTCCATTAATGACACACCTAAGCCACACAGCGCCACACACACACACAGGGCGGATCTGGTGTGTGGCAAGCAGAGGGGAGGAGCAGAGGTCTCCTTGGATTTCATTCCAAGAGCTTCGGGAGCCATGGGAGAGTACCACCATGCCATCTAATTGTTTTCCTTTGAGGCTACCTAACTGCTGCGTGGCTCTGAGCAGGTGAACGCGACTGTAGGCAGCCAGGCAAGAGCAGAAAGGGGCTGAAACTTCAACTGATCAGCCTCTGTGGAGCTGCTGGGAACACTGACCAGCCTGTGGGCCGGCAGGAGAGCAGGAGAGCAGGAGAGCAGGAGATGGCCCCCCCCCTCTCTCTTCCTCTCTCTCTCTCTTCCCCTCTCTCCTCTCTCTCTCCTCTCTCTCTCTCTCTCTCTCTTCTCTCTCTCTCTCTCTCTCCTCTCCCCTCTCCCCCACCTCTCTCTCATCCATCCAGTACTAGAGGTAAGTATCACTGTTCTAACATAACTATTTTAAAATAAGTAACTAATAACCTACGTTCAATGCCATCATCTTATGAATATGAATTAACAGGAATATGAAGGATCATACTGAAAGTAAAAAAAAAAGAGTGGCGAAAAAGTGGGAATTTTCTATAATGAAGTATTGTTCTACACTGTGTTACTGTCAATGATAATGGTTTAACTACCTTCACAGCTGACTCCAGTGTCTCTTTATTCCTCTGCATTTCTTCCTGCAGGCATTTTTCCAGTGTTTCCTATGAACAAGAAGACAACAGGGAGGATGCAGCAAAGGAAGGCAGTTGACCCACCCTTCTCCCTCTGTGGGTACCCCAGGCAGTTGACCCACCCTTCTCCCTCTGTGGGTACCCCAGGCAGTAGACCCACCCTTCTCCCTCTGTGGGTACCCCAGGCAGTAGATCCACCCTTCTCCTGCTGTGGGTACCCCAGGCAGTAGACCCACCCTTCTCAAGCTCTGGGTACCCCAGGCAGTTGATCCACTCTTCTCCCACTGTGGGTACCCCAGGCAGTAGACCCACCCTTCTCAAGCTCTGGGTACCCCAGGCAGTAGACCCACCCTTCTCCCGCTGTGGGTACCCCAGGCAGTAGACCCACCCTTCTCAAGCTCTGGGTACCCCAGGCAGTAGACCCACCCTTCTCAAACTCTGGGTATCCCAGGCAGTAGACCCACCCTTCTCCCTCTGTGGGTACCCCAGGCAGTAGACCCACCCTTCTCAAGCTCTGGGTACCCCAGGCAGTAGATCCACCCTCCTCAAGCTCTGGGTACCTGAGGTCTTACCTTCTGCTCCTGTGACTGCTGATCCAAAGCTTCCTGGATTTTTCCCCTTAACAGTTCCTTCTCATTGTCCAGCACTTCCAGGAGCCTCTGATGCTACAAGGAAAGACACCTAAGGTATTGTTATGGCTCTGAAAATCAACCAGTAAGAAGAGAGAACATCTGTGCCCAGGTAACCAGTGATCACTGGTGGAAACACAGAAATATTGGCAAAATGAGGGTGGAGGGTGCAGGAAACCCAAGCTGGCAATTCATCCAATGAAGACTTTAGCTCTCACCCCATGTAAGTACATAGGGTCAGAGACAACATCCAATTAAATTTAATTACACACATGAAAACGCCAAGTTCAACACCTGCCTGTGCTACATAAGTCCAACTGTGCCTCAAAATACAACAGACCAAAAAGAAAGCTGGGGCATAGCTCCATGGCAAAGTGTCTGCCTCCCACATATAAGGTCCTGATTTCCATCCCTAGCACCACAAACAAAATCCACATATGAGAAGATATACACAGATATACACGAGACAAACAGACAGACTGAAAATTGATACATGTGAGGCTAGGGAGATGGCTCATCAGGAAAGTGTTTGCATGTAAGTGTGAGAGTTTGAGTTTAGAGTGCCAGTACTCCTGTAAATGTTGGGCGAGTGTGTTGACATGCCTGGAATCCCATTGCTCAGGAGGCAGGGACAATGGAATCCCTGAGGCAAGCTGGCTAGCTAGACTAGCCAAACAGCACAATTCTGGGTTCAGATGAGAGACCTTGCCTCCATATAAGAGGTGGAGAGTGAAAGCAGACACTTGATGGCAATCTCTAGCTCCCAGAGAGGCTGCACACATATGTGTATCACATATACACATGCCCACACATATGCATGTGGTGATATTTTACTAACAAATAAAGCTTATCTAAAGATCAGAGGGCAGAGCCAGCCACAGAGTTAGCCATAGAGGCCAGACAGTGGTGGTACACACCTTTAATCCCAGCACTTGGGAGTCACAGGCCTTTAATCCCAGTACCAGGAAGGTTGAGACAGGAAGTGATATGGCTGGGCAGAGAAAGGAATATAAGGCAGGAGGAGACAGGAATTTGGTGCCCTTTGGGATGAGGACTCGGGGCCATTCAGTCTCAAGATTCATGGAGACAGGATCTTCCCCTTTCCGCTGAGGAGTTGGCAAGGTGAGAAGTGCCCGTGGCTTACTTCCTCTGATCTTTCAGCATTTGCCCCATATCTGGTTCCTGGGTTTTTATTATAAGACCAATTAGGATTCATACTACACATGCAGACATGCATACACACATGCCACATACACATAAACATGAAAACAGATAAATACAATTCTTTTGAGGAGGAGAAAGCTAACTAATTTAGGCTTAGAGAGGTTTGGTAAACATAATTCAACAAAATTTCTAAAATTAAAAAAAAAATCAATAAACTATCAGTCACAAATAACTTACAAACAACCTTTCCTTGAAAAATTCTGTCAACAAAGTGTAGTGGCAGGTGAGCCAACCCTCCTCAGTGGCCAACAAGAACACAAACAGGACATGTGCACTAAGATGCCAGTGCCCTGCTGAGAAAATGCACCAGAAGGATGCTTCTTACTCCACAGCACCCAGTATAGCACACAAGCGCCAACTCTGGCCTGGTCCAGACAAAGGCAGACTGATACTGCCACCTGAAATGAGCTCTTTACCTAAACAGCCAAGGCGACAATAATTGTGAATCCCCTGGGGCCTTGCACACTTATGCTTTATATGAGGTGGGGCGACACTAAACACAGCTGTCTGTTGGGTTGTCCCACTCTCCTCATGCTCCAATGTGCAATCTGAGCCTTAGTGAGGGTGATCCCTTTTCATGTATTAATGAATTCTTCAAAAGCTTTATAAACTCATTTCCAGAAGGGTCAACTCTCTAATAACTGTGTTAATAACTATCAGTTCGACCTACTTATGACCTACAGCAACAAAAGCTACATAATATTCCACAGAAGGCCTCACTCACACCAATCAGTCTATAGCAGAATTGATTTCATCTGTTTATTCCTGTCCTTTCCAAAGTACTCTTAAAATAAGACAGAATTAGTGCCCATTCCTCTTCAATCTATGATTCATGGGAAGAGGAGAGGAATGGCAGACAAGGATTTTTAATTCACCATGCTTATACAGATTAAAGACACACTATCTGATATGTAGAACTTAACTGCATGTATCACTAGTTGATTCATTTTTTATGACTAAGAATTTTTTGTATAAATATACAGTAGATTTACCCATTCTACCATGGATAAAGCAGTCACAAATTATCTTAAAAACACATCTTTATTTTTCTTACAAATATCTACAACCTGGTTCAAGTTAATGTCCAAAGCTAGGCTGACTTCAGTCACCAGCGGGGCTTTGAAATGTGGCAGTGTCCCAGCACGTCTATCTGCAGGTGCAGGCACTGGGTTGTACAGGCTGAGCAGCTGTGGTGAAGGGGGCTGACTCTTGCTTCTCACTTTGGAATAGGTGATGTGTGGTGGCTTTACCCCAACTGCTCTGGTTAACAAGACTTGGCTTTACAGCCCTATAAAAGACATTATGAAAATTAACTGAAACTATCCCAGCAAATCTCATCCAAGAGGGGTCTGTTACATTTTGCCTATTTAAGATACTATGCTGCTTTTTAAAACTGCAGTGCAAGTTTGATTAAAAAAATTATATGTATTTTACATGAAAATATAAAAATGAAAGTTATAAAAATCATGTAATTGGAGAAATAAGTTCTGTCTTTACAGAGTAGAAGCTGGGTGCAAGGGTGTCAAAAACAATCTTTTAAAACATAGCCAAAAGGAAAGGCATCTAGGAATAGAATGCCACACCTCCTTGGAAGAAATCATGGCAAGTGCAAATGCTCCCTGCAGACTCAAATACCAATATAGAGGTTCTGTGGTTTCTATCCAATCCCAAACATGCAAAAAACCAACCAACCAACCAACAAACAAACAAACACCCTCTTCTTCCTTAGAATGTGAATGCAAGTCACAATACAAGTCTGAGACAGAGCCACCCTGTCACACATGGTGCCCCTTCCATACTGCAGCTTAGACTAAGCCACCTTGGTGCTCATGGCCAGGCATACAGTTACCTACATACCGTGCACTGAAACGTCCTACTATTTTTCCATGTTTGGGGTGGTGGCAGTACATATTCTGTACAACAGTCTCTGTCATTCTCCAAGCTGCTGACCCTACCCACACCAGGTGATCTAGAAGGAATCTTAAGCGTGTGCTCCCACACATATTTCTGTTTGATATGAATGGAAACACATGATAATTTAATAAGCATCTTACCACAATGTGAGTTACAGTCAGTCACCCATTTATGGGTCAACAATACTGGGAAAGAAACCTTATAGAAGGTAAACTGAGATTTCATCTATTTGAAGAGGTTTTCACAAAGCCGGGAACATCAGCACACTTCTCACTGTGAACAAAATCAGACCATTATATGTCTGTATTAGCAGATTTACTTCTATGAACAGACCAACAGTCCTGTTCATAACAAGCACAGGGAGCATCGGTGAGCAAGTGGCTCCGATTTAAACAGGGCTTTTTGGCTTTCCAGAGTGAAGAAATGAAGCATGCACTGAATTCCAGAGTGAAGAAATGAAGCACACACCGAATTCCAGGGTGAAGAAATGAGGCACACACTGGGAGGCCAGGCAGCACTGACACAGCAGGCTTCCATCTTAGACAGCGTTTTATTACATCAGAGGATCAGACGCACTTCAAACATGAGGCAGTCTTTGTCTCAACAACTTCTAATGAAACAGCTCTTGAAAACTCACCTCAGCCCTGTTCTGTTCACCTAAACAGCAGAGTAAACTCTCCCAGCAGTAACCAGCAGCTCGAGAAACGACTCCTTTGTGCACCAAGCCCAACAGCAGGTAGCTCACGTCTTGGCAGTGTCCTGTTTGTGTGACTGTGACAAATACTTCAAGACATGGAAGTCAGATGCACCAGGAATCTATATGTCACTTGTTTAGTCTCCCTGGTCTCACGGTAATGCCTTCAAGGCTGTGTTCTCATTGTTGAAAGGTAAACTGAGGTACTAAGCTCACTCAGCTCCTCCAGGCCCTACTCTCAGTACTGCCTTGCTAAGAATTATCTTGCAACATGCATTTTGGAAGACACAGACATTCACCCATGGCCGCTGGGGAGGGGGGACAGACACAGCTGTCCAGGCAAGGGTTTTACTCCACACTTAACTTTTCAGAAATCAGCCCGAGCTTTCCTTGAGAGGCATAACGAGCTTGTAGGTCTAACTCCCACGAAGGCATCAGAAACTACCTGGTAGCTGGGGATTTTCATGCTCATCTTTCAAACTCCACTTTCATATTTTACACAGCAATATCCCTAAACCGTTAGAATAAGACTTTTTAAAGTCAGTTGAGAAAGAAAGCCACACTAAGTGTGCAAAAGAGCACAAGTATTGTGGCAGTATGTTTGGCAACATGGTTACAAAGCTAACATGGTTCCCTCATACAGCCTATCAATCATGCTGCCTTGAAGCATACCTGAAGGAGATGAAAACTCACATCCACACAAAGATGTGGACACAGTTGTGTGCAGCACTATCCTAACTGCTAAAATTTACAAGTATCCAAGACACCACTCAGTGTAGAACAGATGGACAGAACCTGTTTATAAAGCACTTTATGAAAAGGAAATAGCAGCTGGGCGGTGGTGGCGCACGCCTTTAATCCCAGCACTCGGAAGGCAGAGGCAGGCGGATCTCTGTGAGTTCGAGGCCAGCCTGGGCTACCAAGTGAGTTCCAGGAAAGGCGCAAAGCTACACAGAGAAACCCTGTCTCGAAACCCCGCCCCCCAAAAAAAAAGAAAGAAAAGGAAATAGCAGCAGCAAAGAGGTGTGTCAGATCCTAAAGGCTTTCAGCTAAGAAGCCAAGCTCTATCTCACCGCAGGGCAGACTAAGGAGACCACAGACATCTCCCGTGCTTCTCAGGGCTGTGAAGGGCTGGATTCAGGCTGTTACACATTTGTGGAAACTCTTCAATGTGCACTTTCCAGACTAACACTGAGGGGAACTA